AGAAGAGGGGAGGGAGGGAAATAAGAAGAGGGGAGGGAGGGAGTAAGAAGGAGAAGAGATAAGAAAAAGAGGGGGGTAAGAAGAAGAAGGGGTGAGTAAGAAAAAGATGGGGGAGTAAGAAAAGGGGGAGGGGGAGTAAGCAGGAGGGGAGATAAGAAAAAGAGGGGGGTAAGAAGAAGAAGGGGTGAGTAAGAAGAGGGGGGTAAGAAGAAAAAGGAGGAGTAAGAAGAGTAAAGGGGAGTAAGAAGAGTAAGGGGGAGGAAGAAGAAGGGGGGTAAGAAGAAGTAGGAGGGTTAAGAAGAAGAAGGGGGGTAAGAAGAACAGGTGGGGGAGTAAGAAGAACAGGTGGGGGAGTAAGACGACCAAGGGGGGAAGTAAGAAGAACACAGGGAGGAGGGGGGTAAGACGAACACAGGGGGTGTGAGGAGAACACATAGAGGGAGGAGTGAGAACACAGGGAGGGTGGAGGGGGGGATGAGAAGAGCACAGGGAGGGTGGGTGAGTGTGAGAAGAGACCGCTAGGGGAGGGTGGGGAAGAGAAGAGACCACTATGGTGCAGGGTAGAGCTCTACGGGACAGAAGGGGCAGCTCTATAGGACAGGGGCCAAGACAGGGAGCTCTTTCACACTACGCGCGCACACACACACACACACAATGCATCCCTATACATACACAGAAACACAACATGCTTCCCTTACACACAGAGAAACACACAATGCATCCATTACACACACACACACAATGCAACCCTTATACACAAAGACAATGCATCCTTTGCACACATACACAGAAACAGACAATGCAAACCCATACACACACATGCAAACACACACACACTTCTTTTCTTACATACACACAGAAACACAATGCATCTATTACACTCAATGCACACACATTCAGACACACACCTTGCATCCCTTATGCATACAAACAAAGATTCACACAATGCATCCCTTACACACAACCAGAAACACATAATACATCCCTTATACACGAATACACACTGCTTCCACTACACACAAACACACTGCATCACCTGCACAAACTGGTAACCCTATACACTACATACCATAAGCACACATATTAGATCCTCTACAATAACACATAACACATCCCCTACACACTCCACTCCCTGTGAGCGAACTCATGGGTGGGTGGAACTTATGAGTGGGCCTTATGGGCATACTCACGTCAGGCCCTGGGGCCCAGACCTTGAGCTGTGTAAGGGGCCCCAAAAAATGGAGCTGCTTCCAATTCTCCCAGAACATTGAATTTTGTGACCACAGTTGCAAACAGCCTCCAGAGATCCTGTTCTACACCAGACCAGTGGAGCCAAACTGCAGCCCATCATCATCCTCATCTGCTTGTAAGTAGGCAATCTAGTATATTATTAGTGACACTAATCTATAATTTACCTCACATTAAAGGGACACTATAGCTTAATGAAGTGGTTCTGGTGTCTATAGCTGGTCCCTGCAGGCTTTTTAATGTAAACACACACTGTGTGCAGCACTGGCGTTAGTTCATATGGCAGATCATATGGGTGGGGCATTGTGATGTCACATGGGGGGCAGCAAATTTTTATTTTGTCTAGGGCGGAAAAAATCCTTGCACCGGCTCGGATCCTGGGCAGGTGCACCAGTCTACTGGTGACCCACAGGAGGGGAGTGCACTGATTGCACTGCACTCTCCTCCTGTCCAGCCCCATCTTTACCGCAGTGCAAGTGCCCTCTGCCCCTAATTTACAGTGGCTCACACTCACAACAAGCAGTGCCTGGAGCCGTGAAGGAGCCGGTATGGCAAAGAGCTACTGATTAGCATAACATCAATATCCGTTATAAAACCAGGAAAAGGTGGGCATGGATGGTGAACTGATTTGGTGGTGCAATGGGCCACTTGACTGGTTTTGCCCCCCAGGCCTAAGGCTGCCAGCCCTCCCCTGGTTTTGCCCCATCCTTTTGCTGATGTTAATGTTGTACATTCTGACAGAGGCCAGTACTGTAGACATAGATATTGTCTCCTTAAGATATAAGATTATACAAAGATATAGACGGCATCTATGCTAAAAAAAAAAAAAATATCAAATCATTCTAGGTGTAACAAAGAAGTACCTTGTACTTAAAGGGATACCTCAAGCACCAAAACAACTTTAGCTTAATGAAACAGTAATGGTGTATAGATAATGTCTCTTCAGTCTCACTGCTCAATTCCTTGCCATTTTACTGTTAAACGGACTCTCCAGCCAACCTGTTTTACTCACCTGGTTCCAGCGCCGGGAGCCTCGTGAAGCCGCGCCCCCTATTTCGTCAAAATGACGAAATAGGCGGGCGCGAGCAGGGAGCAATCAGATGCTTCCATTTGGAAGCGTCATTGCTCCCTTGTGCGCATGCGTGGCTTTTGCCGCACATGCGCACATACTTCATGCCGCCCTCTGAAGTCCTGAGCGCACTACCGCGCATGCGCGTGGTGTGCGCGGCCGCGAGCTGACTGACAGCTCAGCTCACGGTCTTTGCCCGCCCCCTCTCCTCGGCTGATAAGCAGGAGAGAGAAGGGGCGCACACAGTGCCTTCTCTCTCCTGCACACGTCAGTCGTATTTTAATACGTCTGACGTGTACAAGGCCTTTTTAGGGCCCTACATGATAGGAAGTCCCTCTGGTGGCCGTCTGAGTGATGGCCACTGGAGGTATTCCTATCAATCAATGTAAACACTGTATTTTCTCTGAAAATACAGTGTTTACATTAGATTGCCTGCAGGGAGCTATAGATCTCACCTGAACAATTACATTAAGCTGTAGTTGTTCAGGTGACTATAGTGTCCCTTTAAATCACTTTTTGTTTTTGTTTGTGCACACCTAGCTACACCTAATTTTAAATCAGATGTGACAGAACAGTGTGTTAACTTCAGAAGTTTTTGTCTCCTGCTATGTTTATTGATCTTTAATCACCCACAGGAGACTCTTGCAAGCTCTAGCATGCTGTTAACACATCAGGAGATAATACATTCTAAATTAAACACAGTGTGCAATTAAGAGAACCTAATAAAACATTAGACTCTGTTTCAGTAAGTGTGTAAGGAGGCCGTGTGAGTCTCATAGGTTCTACGTTTCTTTGCTAAAGATGGACCTGTTTTTAAAAGTAAATGGATAACGTAATAATTCTCAGGTTACAAAGAGTCATTACAAGCAAGTGGCTCCCATTTCTGGGTTATCTCTAGCAACCACTGTAATATGTTAGTGTTCCAGGCCAGGGATTGGATCTGCAGTTGCTCATGGTCCAAAACTCCCATGATCCTTTAGAAGACTTCAGGCCAAACAAAGTATATACAAAGAGAACGTTACCTGCGCTCTGGCCTAAATCCCCATGTACATTTAAACAAAATGGAGGCTCTTTAGTTTTATTCCAATGGCCATTTGAATATATAAACTCACCTGCCACGTCAAGGCAAGCCTCAATAGGTGAGTCCTACACTAGCCATTAGATATGCTGATATCAGCCAAGAATCTCCAGTAAGACAGGAAGGGGTATTTAAGAAAAACAAAGTATAGTATAGCTAGTGTTACCACCTTGAGGAGTACACAAGCAATTTCAAACAAGGTTGACGCAAGGTTTCATTATACATATTCATTACACATTCTCAGTGCCCATATAGGACATTTATGTCAGCATTGTCACTAGAGTAAAATGGTCAATGCAAAATGAATCAACTATGCCTAACAAAAAAACAAGCCGATATCTTCATTAAGCAACGAATGTGCCAAATCCTTTTACTGAAGACTCGCTAGGTTGAGTCTTGATACTTGTAGAAGAGCTTTTGTGTTTTGGCCATAAATTAAAAAGTTCCTAGGTGTTGTAGTTTGGTAAGAGCAGTAGGTAAATATCAAAATAAAAATAAGGGCACAATATTACGGGATGTTTCGGGCGCAGAGTGTGCTGCGCCACACCAGATATGACGTCATGTTGTAAGCAACGCTACGCTGGATCAATGCTTAATGTCAGGGCTGCCACCGGAAATTTTGGGGCCCCTAACTCAGCTCAGGGTCTGGGCCCCCTTGGGCCCACCTCCAAATCCTGCCCACAAGAATACACACACAGACACAAAAACACACACTGATACAAAAGGACACAGATACACACACACACAGATACATACTAACAGAGACACATACTGAAACAGACATACACGCATATAGGCATACATACTGACACACACATACTGAGACATACACACATATACAGACACACACGCATACATAGTGACAGACACATACTAACATACATACAGACACACATGCATGAGGACATACACATACATACACACAGACATACATTCATTCATACTGACATACATACATATATACATACATACAGACATACTGACAGACATACATTCATATATACAGACATACATACATACATTCATACATACAGACATACTGACAGACATACATACATACATTCATACATACTGACATATATGCATACTGACATCCATAAACACAGACATACGTTCATAATGACATACTGACATACATGCATACATACAGACATACATTCATAATGACATACATACATATATACATACATACATAATGACAGGGGTCCTCAAACTTTTTAAACAGGGGGCCAGTTCACGGTCCCTCAGACACTGTTGGGGGCCGGGCAATAAACAATATGAATGAATTCCAATGCACATTGCACACACACGCATAAGGACATAAATACACACATACTGACATACATACATAAATAAACAGACAGACACAGACATATACATACATATTGAAATACATACAGATACATACACACAGACAGACATGCATACATACACATACTGACTTATACTGACATACATACATGCTGACATACATACTGACAGACACATATAGATACATACATACTGACACACATACATACACACACACATACATACTGACATACATACAGACATACATACATACTAACATACACAAATACAGCTAATTTTGCTTACCCTTTTTTTTGCAGGTGGAAGGCTGTGGCTGATGGGAGTCCGCCTGGCTTTCTTCCCTCCCGCGCGGTGCGGAGGTGAGGGAGCTGGGAGGAAGTGACAGCCACTTCCTCCCAGCAGTACTTTCCATCATGGTTGTCACCCCCTGATGGCGGCCCTGCTTAATATAAGCAGTATTTATTTGGACTGAGTCAAAGTATGTTTCGGCAATGAAGAAGAGTCTAGGAGGAGTTGAAACGTGGGACTGTTTTTATTGTTATTTTGTTTGTGTACTTTTAGGCCTTGTGCCTTTATTTCTATTTTGATCACTGCTAGTTTGATAACTGTCCCTGTTATTTGTATTCATTTAATACAGTTTGTTATTCCTTTATTTTGGGAGCTTCCATTGCCAGTCCTTTGGGATTTTACTTTTGCATTGATCAACGTTTAGCCTGTATAGGCACCATGGAGTCTTTCACGTAGAGCCTGAGACGGCAATACATCTTATTCTGTTGGCCAATCCTTATCTTCATTTTAGGTATTATTTGTGTGCATCCACTTATGGTGTAATATTTATTTTATTTTTTTGTAGTTTGGATTGAGCATTTAAGGTGATAGGGAATACACCTCTCATTACACCTGTGTGATTTGTTTTATTGTTTGAAGCGCCTACACACCGTTCTTTCTGTAGCAGTGATGACAATGGTTCAACATGGAGAATGACACAGTAAGGACTGAGCAGGTGGCTTGGTACCCATGGGAATCCAAGAAAAACCGGCACAAATTTGAAGTAATCAATTAATATGATGGCTTCCGCAAGCCAAATTTATTAAGGCTTAATCCATGAAAAGCAGTCACATGTGACATGTTTTATCTAAATAAAAAACGTATTCATAGATAAAAGCTGATGAAACTGATGAAGATATTGGACAGAGTGAAATTTTAAAGAATGCAATTTGTACTGTAACAAAAGGGAAATAGTGTCTGAGCCAATGTTTTTTCTCTATTTATTAAAGGGACATTTTAGTCACCAAAACAACTTTAGCTTAATGTAGTTGTTATGGTGTATAGATTGTGCCCCTGCAGTCTCACTTGCACAACCTTCCTAAACACTTCCTGAAATCTAACCTAGATATTCTAGGTTCCTTATTTGCACAGTCTGTTTAATCTAGAATTTCTTATTTTCTGCTCTGTCAATAGCCTTCTAGACCCTGCACGAGCCTCCTGCGTGTGATTAAAGTTCCGTTTACAGAGCAGGAGATAAATACTTGCAAAGTAAGTTATATATAATTAAAAATTTAATAATTCCTTTCATGCAGGCTGTGTCAGTCACAGCCGGGGAGGTGTGGCTAGGGCTTCATAAACAGAAACAAAAGTAATGTAACTCTTAAATGGCAGAGATTTGAGCATTGAGACCGCAACATCATGATCTATACACAAAAACTGCTTCACTAAGCTAGAGTTGTTTTGATGCCTAGTATCACTTTACGTGTGTTATCCCTCCTGCACACATTGCTGCTTTAAATAATGCAGGGGATGTTCCTTACTTCGGTTCCCAGTTCTTGTGATCATACATTGGAATTTCTAACATTTTTTGTAAAACCTTCATTCTATTGCTGGGTCTTGGTGAAAGGCTAAGCTTTTCTGAGCTTTGGATAGAGTAACTAGCTGCTCTGACTTTATGCCTTTATGGTCAGGTCGTCCGGGCCCCACATTCAGTGGGTACATACCGGGTCACAGGGGGTCCTGCGACCCGGTTTGTACCCACAGGGCCAGCCTCTTCTCCTGGGGGGCCCAGCAGCCGGTCACCTCAGGGCCCCCTAGAGGCTGGCCCTGCTGATACCCGGCGGGCGGGCCGGCGCGCGAAGGAGCACTCTCTGTGTGCTTCCTCTTCAGCTCCCTTGCGCACCGTACTGATGCCGGAGCCGGAAGATGACGTCATCTTTCGGCTCCGGCATCAGTACGCAGCGCGCCAGGGAGCTGAAGAGGAAGCACACAGAGAGTGC